CAAAACAGATTATGTTGGTGAAATTTGAAAATTCACCATAAATTGTACAGAATGAATTAGAATGATTTCTTTATATGGATAGATTCATATTGGAGTCTAGTTTTCAATGGAAGAAACGGAATTAAATTCCAGTGTCTGTATCAATACAGTTTAATGATTCTTTAAAGGTAGTACGAGTTGTCTGAATTCTGGAAAATTGATGGGTTATTGTGTAAGTGTTATGTAATTGATGTACTATGCTGGAATTGTTGTTTGAGAATTGAAATGAGTGTTAAATGTGAAATTGATTATTTTGGGAAGATTGAAATGATTGGTGATTTGAGTACAACAATTGCATAGTTGGGATACGTAAATGTATTTATGCTTTTGTAAAAGCATTTGAATGGAAATAATTTCAATGTTGGAATTATTGGTATTAAGAATTTAAGTGGTAAAATGGTGAATACCATTTTGAGTAAATGGGAAAAGTTGGTTCCAATGTTATAAGGAATTATTAAGAGTTGAATATTTTGATAGATGATGAATTTCAAATATAGTATGGAGATATGGTGGAATGTATTTATGTTAGTAAAATACTAACATATGTATTATTATGAATTTTTTATTTATACAGATCATGGTTGATTTGCAATTGAAGCAAGTCAAGTATAAAAAGGGTATATTATGGACAATAGTGAGGCTTATATATTTTGAAAGACATAAAGTGTCAAGGTGAGTGCAATACATGCATGAAATTACACATGGATGTTTTATACATCATAAGGAAGACTTGCGATAAGTCGACCTTGTTTATATCATCATGATATTATGCCATGTTTTTATAAATTGACATGACATTGAAATGTCACGGTATGAAATCAAAATGCATTGATTATGAAAAATGTGATATTTTACCATGAATGTTTTCGGGTATGAACTGCCCAATGTTAAATATTGATAATATACTTTGCCATGGATGAATTGAATAAAATATACTATATGCCCAAGTAAGTCATTGAGGGACAGGGTATAGTTGGCATGCCATAGAGTATAGCAGCTGCAGGTTTATATTAGCACTATAGTGTGTAAGGATACTAAGTGCAGGTTTATGTTCAGATTAGCACTATAGCGTAAGCTTAGTGTAGGTGGTGGGCACGACCTTATGTGTATTGTCCGGATTAGCACTATGGCGTAAGCTTAGTGCAGGTTTAGCACTACGGTGCAGGTACTTTACTCGTATACCCAGGGTCCTCAGGGTGTTATATTGGGCTATTGTCTACGGTTTATTGACTATGGATTATGTCATCTGATAAGCCCATAGTGCTTCGTCTAGTTTATGGGACTAGTCATTCCTTCTAGGATTCACCATATTCTCTAGGATTTTTTTAATCTCTCGGATGGACCCTTTGGCTTGCCCATTGGTTTGTTGGACATATGCCATGGATATTTTATGTCGTACTCCATATTTTTTAATGCCTTGGTGATTAGCTTGTTATTGAAATTACTGCCCTTGTCACTGATGATGGCTTTAGGTGCTCCAAATTGGGTGAAGATGTTCTTGTGAAAGAACTTGAGCACGATTTTAGAGTCATTCCTCGGTGTTGTAATAGCTTTAACCCACTTAGATACATAGTCCACAGCAAGCAAAATATACAAATCTCCAAAAGAAAATAGGAACGATCCAATGAAGTTAATGCCATACACATTAAAGTGCTCGATCTCCAGAATGTTTTGCAATGGCATTTTGTATCGTTTGGAAATGTTCCTAGTGTGATGACATCTATCATACGCTTTGTAAAACTCACGAGCATCCTTGAACAGTGACAACTAATAAAAGTCTGACTGGAGGACCTTAACAGCAGTGCTCACGCCTTCGAAATGTCATCCATAGGGGGCAGTGTGGCAATGTTGTATATGTCTCTATGCTCCTCTTCAGGTACACAATGTCGAATTATTTGATCAGCGTAATGTTTGAATAAATATGGCTCATCCCAGAAGTAGAACTTGGCTTTATGCTTGAACTTCTTCCTACCATGGATATTCAATTCATAAGGCAAAATACCACTAACAAAAAAATTGGCTATGTCAGCGTACCAGAAAATAGTCATGGCATATAAAATTTTCTCATCAGGGAATTCTTCTTGAATATCTAAAATGTCATTGCATTCAGAATTGTTCTCTAGCCTAGATAAATGATATGCAACCTGGTTTTCAGTACCTTTTCTATCTATTAACTCTAAGTCAAATTCTTGTAGTAGTAATATCCACCTACTGAGTCTAGGCTTGACATCTTTCTTGTTCACTAAGTATTTTATACCTGAGTGATCAGTGAGAATAATAACTTTGGTGCCTATCAAGTATAACCTAAACTTGTCAAATGTAAATACCATGACAAGTAATTCGTTCTCAATGGTAGTATAATTCAGTTGTGCTCCATTCAAGGTGCGACTACCATAATTTGTAACATGGAAAATTTTACCTTTGCGTTGCCCAAGCACAACTCCCACGGAAAAATCGCTTGCATCACACATCAGCTCGAATGGTGACGTCCAATCGGGGGAAACCATAACGGGTGCAAAAATAAGTCTTTGTTTCAGTCGGTGAATGCACCATGGAAATTTTTATCGAACACAAAGGGTTGATTTTGTTGAAGCATAGTGCATAAGGGCTTCAATATTATGGAGAATTCCTTGATGAATCTTGGTTATGCATAAGGTAGTCCATGCATATCTTCCACCAGGTGACAGTGCGTGTTGGTAACAACTCATTATCACCATGGTTATGCCTCCCTTCTTTGGCACACATTGGACGAGACTCACCCAATAACTATTAGAGATGAGGTAAATCACTCTAGCATCAAGCCATTTTAGAATTTCTTTCATTACGGCTGTCTTCATGATTGAGTTTAATATTCTTTGTGGTTCTATGGATTTGCCATGACATTCTTCCAGCAGGATTTTGTGCATGCAAATGGTGGGACTTATCCCCTTGAAAAAACACTTAGCAAACTACATTATTGGTTATGAGTAAAGGTAGATGAAATAATAACAGGTAAAGTTTCATTACTTCCTAGATAAGCATATTTCAGATGTTGTGGAAAATTTTTTAACTCTAGGGTAGGTGCATGTTGTAATGTGGGCTTAGGAGGAACAAACTCATCGAAATCAAGAGGTTCAAAATGTGCACATGGGCTAGGTATCAGGTAGTTAGCCTACTACTCCTCCAAAACAAAATCATTGGGCTCCACGACACTTTCTTCTTCAATAAGCCTCTCATAATATTCTAATTGAATGAAATTGTCATGGTAAAATTAATCAGCTTATCCTGTTATCAATGAATTTGCTTCAAAAATGCTATGTCATTCTTTAGACTCATCTATGTACTTGAGAGTACGGAAAACATTAACAGTGACACATTGGTTGGCTACTCTCATGGTAAGTTCACCCTTCTAATAATCGGCAAGAATACATCTGGTAGCTAGGAAGGGTCTCCCCAAGATTATGGGTTCCATGGCATCAACCTTGCATTCCAGTATAAGAAAATCTATTGGAAACTCAAATTTATCCACCTTTACAATGACTTCCTCGACTAGCCCCTCGGGGCGAACGAGCGGTCGGCTAGTTGTAAGATAACAGAGGTGGGTCTCGCATTTCCTATTACAAGATTCATGAATATTGACTTAGGCATTAAGTTTCCAATTGAGCCAAGGTCACATTATGCCTTCCCAATATAATTTTCTCTTATCGAACCTGGAATAATAAAGCTATCTGGATCTTATCTTTTTTACGATAGCTTGCTTAAGAAAGAGCAATATGCTTTTACCGTGGCAACTATATCATACTTCTTAGCTTTTCTTTTCTTGGTAACAATATCCTTGAGAAATTTAGCATATGTTGGCATTTGTTCTATAGCTTCAAGAAAAGGAACATTGATGTGATGTTGGTCCAGAATGTCGACAAACTTCTTGAATTGAATATCATCATTATACTTATTCAGTGTTTGTGGGAAAAGAGGTGGGGGTCTGACTTCCTTTAATGAAGGGGTGGGAACATCATTTTCCATGGGATTTGTGCTTTCTCCCTTAGTTTCTTTACTAGATGAACCCTCATCATTTTCCTCTTCCACTTGCATTTCTTTTGGCATTTCACGCTCAGTTTGCATGGTTATAGGGGGTAATTCATTCTTCGGTCTTCCCCCAAACTTGTCTTGAACATTGATTTAGGTGCCACTTCGTAGAGTGAGTATACAACATTGCTCTTTGCCATGAGGTTTTGTGACTTCAGTGCCACTCGGTAGATGACCTGGTTGACGTCCTTGTAATACTGCAATAATTTGACCAACCTGACCCTCTAACGCCCTCAGAGATGAGTTTTGGCTTTGAAGTAATGCTCATTCGTTTTTTATGGAGGTCACATGGTCTTGTATCATGGTCTTCTTGGTTGCTATAAACTCTTGCATTAAGGCCTCCAAAGAACTTATGTTAGATGAAGATAACATTGCCTTATTAGAATTATGCCATGGCATATTCGTTTGAAAACCTTGAGAGTCATTGAAATTCTGTTGCTGAACAGGATGACTATCATTACTGGTTCCTTGATTTCTTCAAGAGAAGTTTGGATGTTGACTGATAACTCTGTAAAAAGGTCATATTTTGGGATCTTTTCACTTAAGTTATTGAATGTCTAAGAGCCCATTTAGGACCATTTAGAAGCATTTAGGAGCATATAGTTGCATGTGGTGGAATTCGGTTTACCGCATCATTTTAATTTGTCATCAGTGCTGCTTTATGGGGAAGGTGTTTGTTTGATGATGTGCAGGATTTGAGAGCAAGGAAAAGAAAAAGGAAAATGCCGTGGCATAAGGAGACTGCTGAGCATAATGAAAATGCCGAGTTGGATTGGCATTTCGAAAGCGAGCAAAGTGCGAGAAAATATTTTTGAAGCCAGTTGTCTCCCATTTTCACCAAGAGCGAGAAATCCACCTGGATTAGCACTACAAATGCCCATGATGCCATGCTGAAGATGTCAGATGCCCATGCTGGACCACTGCCCCATGCTGGATCACTGCACCATACTGGACCACTGCCCCATGCTGGATCACTACACCATGTTGGACCACTGTCCCATGCTGGACCACTGCCTAATCCTCACGAGAATCAAGCAAAGTTGGGGGCATCTTAGGAATTTCAACATAAATTCCTAGGGTTTTTCTCCCCTTATAAATATAGGATGAAGCTACATTGAAGAAGACTTTAGTTCCAGCCACATTTGATCTTAAAAAGTTAGAGAGAGAAAGTCTCATCTTTCTCCGTCAATCCCACTTGCCGTGGCATTTCTCCTTGACTAGTAGAAGGGAGTGGTGTTCTAAGCATCCGAGAGGAGTTAGTTCACTAGGAGCAGTTCTTGGTGGCCGAGGAAGGCATTTGGCAGTGCACGTTGAAGGCTTTTTTCCTCCCCTTAGTACTTGCTTTTATATTTTGTTATTGGGTTGTAAGGAACGAATGAATCTTGCTTTGGGCTTGTTGATTTCGAACCCCACCATGAACTAATCCTATTTGGTGGGATTTTGCATGGTTATTTAAGTTGTTATTTTAATGAATGGTTGTTGTTTCATGCACTATTCTGTTTTGTTTATGATGCTTAAATCCTTGAGGTTGTAGGAGCTACGAGAGTAGCCTTTCCTTAGGAGGGTTCATGAGGTTCGAGAGAATGCATTGGCAATTTATCTTTAGTCTTCGAGAGAAGCTAGGGAGGAACTACATAAACAACGGGTTCTAGATAGTAACTAGGCCTAATCCACCTTAGAGATAAGGATAGGATTTCATTCGACTAAAAGGAGTTGTGTATAAACGATAGGTTAGATGTTAATGCTGCCGCAAAAACGTATTGCCGAGACATATTCTATTAGCTGAGTCAATAGGATCACTCCTTGGACTTACGCCAATCGGTTTTGCCAGGGCATCTTTAGTCTATCGAGTCCCTTACTAGAGATAGCATAGGGCACATCAGTAGACTCTGTTAGGCAGGGTAAGCAGAGAAGAAGCACCATTCAGAGAAATAGACTTAAGTTTTCCTTGTGTCTCCCATCACTCATTTCCATTGCTGCTTGTCTTGTGAGAAAGCTAAAGTCCTACATATATTAAATCTAGTATTTGCATTTTTATTTTGCCTTGACATTTCCATTTGTTTTCACGTATCACAATTTAATTCGCCACGACATATCCATTTGCTACCACACTATCACCACTCCATTTCCACTACGTCCATTCCATTTTGCCACTGCATTCTCATTTGTATATACCATAACTAACTTTACTTAGGTGAAAAAGTAAAGTGCCTTGACAAACCTATTTGATTTCCCCAATTCCCTGTGGAGACAATACTCTACTTATCACTTTATTACTTGTTCGATTGTGTATACTTGCACACATATCCGCATCATATTTTAGTACTCACAAATAGCGGACAAGTTTTTGGCACCGTTGCCGGGGAATTGGCAACTGGAAGTTAATTAGTTTTGTCATAGCATTTTTATTTTACTTGTTCAATTTTTTTGTATAGTTTTACTTGTTATTTTCCTTGTCTTTTTCAGGTTTTTATTTTACGTACTCAAAGTGCTCCAGCAAAGATGTATCAAATTGGAAATCAAGGAATAGGTCAAGAGGAATATCAACATGCCGAGGCAATTCCGAATGCTGGGAATGCATCTAGGCCTCATAGTATTCGAGATCATTTAAATATTATCATGGACGAACTAAATCCTGGAATTTTGGCACCCATGATTCAGACAGCCCACTTTGAGCTCAAACCGGTTATGTTCGACATGTTGGACTTTATTGGACAGTTTGGTGGTGCTCCTTATGAGGATGCAAGGCAATATGTTCAGGCATCCAACTCAGCATGTCTATTATGCCATGACAATCACAATGAGAGTGACTGCCCGACCAATCTAGAGTCCATCAACTTTGTAGATAACTAAAATCGAGGCAACAACAACCCCTATTCTAACGATCTTGGATGTTGTCAACATCCAAACATTTTGAGGGGAAATCAAGGAACCACCAACTCTAGTCAGCCCGCTAGGCAGCAGAACTTCAGTGACTCCCAGGGTTTTCAAACGAATATGCCATGGCATAATTCTAACGAGGGAGTACCATATTCATCTAACACAAGCTCTTTGGAGGCCACGATGCAAGATTTTATCGCAACAATGAAGACCATGCTGCAAGACCATGCCTTGGAGGGTCAGGTTGGCCAAATTGCCACGGCATTACATTTTTGCCCACATGGCAGTCTACCTAGTGATACTGAAGTCACTGAGGATCAAGACATGGAGCATTGTGGTACATTCACCTCAAGGAGTGGCATCAAAATCTATAAAGATGCTAAGTTTGGGAGGAAGACACTCGGAGAGCCCGATCATGAGATTATGCACGAAGATCCGAAGGTGCAAGAAGATTTACATTTGCTGGAAAATAATGATGAGGGTTCGAAGAGTACATCCAATGAAGAGAAGAAAAATTTTGCCACGGCAAAAGAAAAGCCCCCATCAGTAGGAGTTGATAACCAAAAGAAAGCTGTAGAATTTTACCGTAACAAATTTTTATGCAATGATAATCACTTCAATCTTGATGAAGAAGATAAAGAGGAGCTCGAGGATATTCCAAAGGAGATGAGTAAGTGTAGCTCACCCATAGCTAGATCGGGTATGAAATTTAAACCTTTGAATCCTATTGAATTTACTCATCCTAAACCTCAACTAGTTGCTCATTTTTCTTGGCTAGAAATTGTGAAAGAACTAAGGAATAAAATGGAGATTAAGGAAAAATTCCCTAATGAGAAATTATTATTTACCGCGGCAATTTTGTGGCATGCTAACATTGTCAATTTTCTTGTTAGTGTTGTTTTGCTTCCTTACTTGACTAGCCTAGGAAAGAACAAGGTCATACACAATGGTGGGTATTGGCATAGGGATGACCTCGACCTCTCCAACGAATTTGCTGCCCAAATGATTTCAAGTTGCCCCAGCAAAAAGGAGCGAAAAGAGATCTCATTCCACTACCATTCAGCTTCATGCAGAGAGCACTTTGAAGAAGATAGGACTACTGCAAAGGTCCTAAAATTCAGATGTGAAAGACCCGAAATGCCAAGGCAAATTATTTTGAAGGCAGAACTGTTATATGTGTGGGGCATTTTGGTCTATACTGGTGCTCCGATCGAGCGTGACAAATCTGCACTCTTATTGCACGATGTCGAAACTGGCCAAGCATCTTAAAGATGTCGTTCCATTTTGGATTTACTCCTGGTCCATACAACCCTCAACCGTACCAACATCAGATTTTGAACATTCCAGCCCCACACAATTACGAAAGCGCACACGTCGCACGACCGCCACACCACCACAAGCATGAAGTCAAGGTACCTTGCATTTGCATTGCATTTCATAGCATGTAGTTTGTTTACTTAGTTTTTATTAAGCATTGAGTACAATGCTTATCTCAAGTTTGGAGGAAGTAGGGTTCTCGGATCATTGCATGATAGTACTAGTAAAATAAGTATGCCATGACATTAGTAAGTTGCTTGAATTGTTTTCTGGAATTAGTTAAGGGTGCCCGATGATGATGAATTCTTGATGGCTAGGATAGAATGTACATGACTGGTTGAGGACGAGAGAACCAACTCTAGGACTTACTTCTTTGAAATCCTTGAATACACGATTGTATATTTTCCATGCTTGAGAAACTTAGAAATTTTTTATAAGAGAATTCTTAAATGTCGTGGCATAAAACTTTGAATGATGAAAACCCCACAACAAAAAAAGAATAAAGTTATGAATAAATGCCTCGGCATATCTGTAGAGAGACACTCCGCTATGCCACGATATTTCCTGGAAACTGCAGTTAAATAAATGGCAGCTATGGCATATGAGTGAATGAAAGAAGTCACGGGATGACACTACCTGACTAGCTCAGGGGTGGAAGGTATGCTCCCTTTCACCTAGAGTATGGGATGGTAGGTGTGATGGGCTGACTCCTCTCGAAGCAGAGTTAATGAAAGAAAAGAAAACAATGTGGAGTAAAAATTTGTAAATGTCGTGGCAAATTAAGAAAGTTTGCTTAGAAAATTTTTAGGTTTTTTAAGCATGGACTGGATACAAATACGCACACACCCACAGAAAGAATCTTTCCCTAGGGGACAGTACTTGATTTCTCGAACTAGTCTAGCAGGTTGAAGCCAAATGATGAGGGCTGAAATTTTATCCCATATAACTAGTCTGCTTCTGAACTTGTCATGGTATTTTTGTTTTGCTTAATACTATCCATTGCTTGAGGACAAGCAATAGCTTAAGTTTGGGGTGTGATAACTCCGTAAAAAGGTCATATTTTGGGACCTTTTCACTTAAGTTATTGAATGTCTAAGAGCCCATTTAGGACTATTTAGATGCATTTAGGAGCATATAGTTGCATGTGGTAGAATTCGGTTTGCCGCGGCATTTTAATTTGTCATCAGTGCTGCTTTATGGGGAAGGTGTTTGTTTGATGATATGCAGGATTTGAGAGCAAGGAAAAGAAAAAGGAAAATGCTGTGGCATAAGGAGACTGCTGAGCAGAATGAAAATGCCGAGTTGGATTGGCAGTTCGAAAGCGAGCAAAGTGCGAGAAGATATTTTTGAAGCCAGCTGTCTCCCATTTTCACCAAGAGCGAGAAATCCACCTGGATTAGCACTACAAATGCCCATGCTGCCATGCTAAAGATGTCAGATGCCCATGCTGGACCACTGCCCCATGCTGGATCACTGCACCATGCTGGACCACTGCCCCATGCTGGATTACTGCACCATGCTGGACCACTGCCCCATGCTGGACCACTGACCAATCCTCACGAGAATCAAGAAAAGTTGGGGGCATCTTAGGAATTTCAACACCAATTCCTAGGGTTTTTCTCCCCTTATAAATATAGGATGAAGCTACATTGAAGAAGACTTTAGTTCCAGCCACATTTGATCTTAAAAAGTTAGAGAGAGAAAGTCTCATCTTTCTCCGTCAATCCCACTTGCCGTGGCATTTCTCCTTGATTAGTAGAAGGGAGTGGCGTTCTAAGCATCCGAGAGGAGCTAGTTCACTGGGAGCAGTCCTTGGTGGCCGATGAAGGAATTTGGCAGTGCACATTGAAGGCTTTTTCTCCTCCCCTTAGTACTTGCTTTTATATTTTGTTGTTGGGTTTTAAGGAACGAATGAATCTTGCTTTGTGCTTGTTTATTTCGAACCCCACCATGAACTAATCCTATTTGGTGGGAGTTCGCATGGTTATTTAAGTTGTTATTTTAATGAATGGTTGTTGTTTCATGCTCTATTATGTTTTGTTTATGATCCTTAAAGCCTTGAGGTTGTAGGAGCTACGAGAGTAGCCTTTCCTTAGGAGGGTTCATGAGGTTCGAGAGAATGCCTTGGCAATTTATCTTTAGTCTTCGAGAGAAGCTAGGGAGGAACTACATAAACAACGGGTTCTAGATAGTAACTAGGCCTAATCCACCTTAGAGATAAGGATAGGATTTCATTCGACTAAAAGGAGTTATGTATAAACGATAGGTTAGATGTTAATGCTTCCGTAAAAACGTATTGCCGAGACATATTCTATTAGCTGAGTCAATAGGATCACTCCTTGGGCTTACGCCAATCGGTTTTGCCAGGGAATCTTTAGTCTGTCGAGTCCCTTACTAGAGATACCATAGGGCACATCAGTAGACTCTGTCGGGCAGGGTAAGCAGAGAAGAAGCACCATTCAGAGAAATAGACTTAAGTTTTCCTTGTGTCTCCCATCACTCATTTCCATTGCTGCTTGCCTTGTGAGAAAGATAAAGTCCTACATATATTAAATCTAGTATTTGCATTTTTATTTTGCCTTGACATTTCCATTTGTTTTAACGTATCACAATTTAATTTGCCACGACATATCCATCTGCTACCACACTATCACCACTCCATTTCCACTACGTCCATTCCATTTTGCCACTGCATTCTCATCTGTATATACCATAACTAACTTTACTTAGGTGACAAAGTAAAGTGCCTTGACAAACCTATTTGATTTCCCAATTCCCTGTGGAGATGATACTCTACTTATCACTTTATTACTTGTTCGATTGTGTATACTTGCACACATATCCGCATCATATTTTAGTACTCACAAATAGCGGACATTGATGCCATCCAGGATTATAGGTGTTGGAACAGGGGTTGTTGTAGCCTTGATTATAGTTTTATACATAGTTGATGGATTCCTGATTGGTCGGGCACTCGTTCTCATGGTGATTTCCATGGCATAATAAACACGTTGAATTGGCTGCCTTCATTTCTTTCACCTTACTTGGTCTTTGCAAATTCTTTAACATATTGGTGATAGCAGCAAGTTGGGCGAACACAGAATCATTAGTGTCTAACTCAAATGCTTCATGTGATTTTAACCCAATTCCATGCCTTGTAGATGGGAATTGATAATCATTGTTGGTAATCCTGTCCAAAATGTCGAATGCCTTTGAAGGTGATTTCTTGAGTAATGTCCCATTTACTGAGGCATCTAGCCGCGTGGGCACATTTACTCCGTTATAGAACATTACCACTCGAGTCCAATCTTGAAAACCATGATTTGAACATTTACAAAGCAATCCTTTATACCTATCCTAACATTCACACATTGATTCGTCATCAGCTTGATGAAAAGAAGTGATGGCGTTCCTCAGTTGGGTGTTCATGTTTGGTGGATTATACCGCAACAAAAAACTTTTTCAAAAATCAGTCCAAGACTTCATCGAACCCGCTGGAATGTCACTCAACAAAGCCTTTGCTCGGTCACACAGAGAATATGGAAATAACTTTAACTTTAATACATATTTGTGTACTCCTTGTTGACGAAAATAATCGCACACTTCCAAGAAGTTACGAATATGTTGTCTGCCATATTCATTTGGCATGCCCCCAAATTGCCCTATGGAATTTAGCATATTAAACATGACATGTTTGATCTCAAAATGGGCTACCTAAATCTCGGGTGGCATAATTCCTGGATTTAAGTCATCCAAGATAGGATTTAAGTGATCACAAATGGCACAAGGTCTGACTGTATTCCCGGCATTCAGAATTACCTCGGTAATTTGATCTTCCTATTGACCAATACCTTGATTTCAAATTTGATACATGTTTGCACGTTAAGCACATCTTCTTTGTCAAAACAACTTCTTAATCTCAAGTTCAATTGGTTCTAATGGGTCGTCAGAATGTCTTCTGGTCATACACCAAGAAAAACCTGAAAAAGATATGGAAAATAACAAGTAAAACTATAAAAAAAATGAATAAGTAAAATAAAAAGGCAATGACAAAACTAATTAACTTCCAGTTTTCAATCCCCGACAACAACACCAAAAACTTGACCGCAAATTGTGACTTCTAAATATGGTTGCGAAAATATGTACAAGTATACACAATTGAACAACAAATATACAATGATGAGTAAGTATCGTATCCACATGGTTTGGAGGAAATTTATAAGCTCAATTACAACAATTTACTATTTCACCTAAGTATAGTTATTGATGGTATTTACAAATGAGAATAATGTGGCAATATGAAATGGATGTTGGTGGGAATTGAATGATGGTGAAATATAATATGGTAGCAAATGGATATGTCATGGCAAAGTAAATGGAAATGTCTTGGAAAAATTAATTTGAGTGTAGTTGAATCAATTGAAAATGCAAAGGAAAAACTAAATATAAACATTGGATTTTATTATAATGACTTTAAACTCCTCACACAACAAGCTACTATGGGAATGAATGGTATGAGTCACTTAGGAAACTTAAGTCTACTTCTCATGATGGTCTTACTTCTATGCCTTATTTTCTCGACAGAGTATACTAAGGGTGCCCTACGCTATCTCTAGTCAAGGGACTCGTTAGGTTCAGGATGCCATGGAAAAACCTATCGGCATTAGCAAGTGCATGGATTCTATTAGTTCAAATAACATAATATGTCACGATAATACCACTTAGCGGCAACACTAACATCTACCCTCTCGGCCGAGGACTACACCTTTTAGTCGATTGAAATCCTAGCTTTATGTCTAAGGTTGGATTAGGCCTAGTTACTGTCTAGAACCCCTTGCTTATGTGGATCCTCCCTAGTTTCTCTCGAACACTACGTGTATGTTACTTAGTATTTCTCTTGAACACCATGCAATCTCCTAAGGAATGGCTACTCTCATAGCTCCTACAACCTTAAGGCATTAAACATCATAAACAAAACAAATAACATCATACAAAAACAACCATCTAGTAAAATAAAACTTAAATATCCATAAGGAACTCCCACCAAATAAGACTAGTTCATGGTGGGGTTTGAATATTGAAAGTAACAAGGCATGAAACTAATCCATTCCATACAACCCAAATAAGATAAAAGAGAGTAAACAACAAAAAGAAGGCGGAAAAGCCTTCAACATGCACAGCCAGAGCTTCCATCAACCACCATGAACTACCTCAGCTCGCTAGCTCCCCTGGGACGCCTAGCTTGCCACTTCCTCTAGCTTGTTAATAACGGAATTCCACAGCAAAAATGATTGAACGAAAAATGAGAGATATTTTTCTCTCTAATATTTAACTCAAGACGACGTGTTTAAAAGTCTCCTTCTTTTGGTGGCTTTATCTTCTATTTATAGGGGAGAATAAACCTAGGAATTTGTGTTACAATTCTTAGGATACCCCGATCAGGCTCCTTTCATGCGAGGGGGTGAGCAATTGTGGCAGTAGTCCCCTTCAGGGCAGCTGGGCATGGTCATCTCCTGGACATCTTGCAGCTGGGCATGGTCTCGATAGAATCAGATGACCCAGGTGGTAGATGTCTCCTTCTAGCTGACTGGTGGTTGAGGGCACATGAAGACAAGGACAACTAGATCTTAAAAGTATCATCGTTCATCTTTTCCACTTCTAAAATGTCATCTAATTTGACATTTGCATTATGCTCAGCAGTATCATCATGTCATGACAATTCCCTTTTGTTTATATTTTCTCCTCAATCATGCACATTATCAAACAAAACACCTTCCCCGAAACGCAGCACTGTTTACAAAATAAAATGCCACAACAAAATATATTTCCACCATATGCAGTAATATGCTCCTAAATGCATCTATATGCTCCTATATGAGCTATTAGACAGTCAATAACTTAAGTGAAAAGGCCTTAAATATGGTCTTTTCACGAAGTTATCATCTTTCCATAGAGTCCAACATCTGTATATTTGGTTTAGCACTATAGTGTGTAAGGACACTTTGTGCAGCACCATAGTGTGTAAGGACATTTAGTGCATATCGTGGGCACGACCTTATGTGTATTGGAATTATAGTGTGTAAAAGCACTTAGTTCAACATTGTATTGTGTAAGGACACTCACTGTATATGGTAAGCACTCTGGTGCATATTTGACTTGAGTATCTAGGGTCTTCATTGATTTATGTTTGGGGTATGGTTTATTGGTTAAAAAGTGATATAAATGTGAATAAGATTATGAGCTTATGGAATAAATGACAAGTATATTGGTAAGAAAATTTATATGTGGTTCATATCATGTTAATATTAGTAGCATGATTGAAATTACAGGTAAAGTGATCATAATGCATTGAATATTGTTACTCATATACATTTGTGTGTTGCATTGCCTTGAACATTTCTTTTGATTGCCTCACTAAGTATATACTTAGCATGTGATGATTTTCACGTATAGGTTAAATAAATCGAGAAGAGTGAGGAGTTGAGCTTAGCATCAATCACCAAGGAATATTTCAGGTAACAATGATGAATCATATTGTGTTCTAAATTTCTAGCTGACATGTATACGAGAATGTAGTGTATGCAATTTTT